CTATGCGAAGGAATACAATTAATGCTTAATCATCAGTCGTATAAAATTTTTTTTTTCACCGATTGAGAAATAAAGTACGTCGTTTCAAAATTTAAAAATGACTTAGGTCAATTTGGAATTGACCTAAATTGTGAAATGACGCAGAACATTTATACAGTTTAAGTACTTATGTTTAAAAAAAATTACAGTAAATAAAAAAAAGTATATAGAAAGTATTATAAGAATTGTAGAACTCCATTATCGAAAATATTAAAGATCTCAGATTTGTTAAATTCATGCTGGCACCGATTTTCTTGAGCTAAATTTACCCTTACAATGTACTGCACGCAAAAAAAAATTTAAGTATCTGGTATATTACCACTGGGAACTAAAAATTTTCATGTACGGAACTGTGCTGTAGTATTATAGTTGTTAAAGTATAAGCAAGCAAGTAAGTATGGATAACTGATAAAGTAATATACCGTGTATAATATGCAGACATGATAATACGACTACCTTGTTTTGTTTTGATAGGCCAATGCAGTTATTCTTGTAACGAACCTTTTTATAATAACAGTATAATAAACTCTTTTTAATAAATATTCATTAGAGCCTGGCATCGGAAATAGTAAACTACTTCTATAAGAAACATATTATAAGAACTGTCAGCTCATTATACGAAAGTTAACTGCATACATATGTTGCTATTCATATGCTGACAAAAAAATAAAGGTGGCTCATATGTAGAAATACAAGAAAACAACATATTTACGCTATAGTAAACCCTATAGCCTCGAAAATATTATAGAATTAATTCTATTATATCAAGAGTTCACTCTAACAAAGGTGAGCTATATTTGAGTATTGGCTCTTTTCGTTATTTAACTGTGAGTATATTTTTAGAACTCTACAACCTTTTATGGCTTCGTTTTAATTATTTATTTGTGTTAATTTGGGTCATGATTTAAGGGGATTGATTCATGATTGAAGGGAGATTAGTTTATAAACCTAGTTACAGCGAAAGTTTACTATAACGGGCTTCTCTGAACATAACTAACTTTGAAATTTTTAAATTTATATTATTGTGTGTATATTTTGTATACCTAATAATTCAATATCATTTGAACAATTTAATTCATGTTTACTGTTCATTTTAAATCTGATCAAGGTTATTATTTATTATTCAAGTTTCTCTTTAGAAATGTAATGACTTGATAAAATAAACATGAGTATATTTGGAGATATTTAACGTCAAAACTTGTAGTTTTTAAATTAAATTGTACAAACCACAAGAATATTAATTTACATTCCTTTACAAAAACATGTATATAATACAGCATTCTTACATAAATACTTTTTTAGAACTTTAAATGATGGAAAATATCAGTGTAATTTATGTCCTTCCAGCCATAGTCGATAGTGTTCTTCCAGACTATTTTATATATAATATATTATGAGTATAGTATGTTAATTTTATATACTCAAATGCGATATTTGCAGTATACTCCACTATTCGTAATACCGTGAATAATTACACTAATAAGAATATATAACATTAATGTTAATAAAGTCACGTAACCATTAATGCAACTTATGTCTTAAATGTCCCTTATATTTATTGCACTACTGTTCGATTATAATATTGGCACATTCGGTGTAGCAATTGCGTGATTCATTACAAACTGGTTAAAAATATATTATATCTGTGTGCCTAAATTATTTTGAACAAAAGGTAATTTAGACCAACACTTCCACATTTCTATATTTTTTATGTGAATAACTTATGCTATTTAATTTCTTTTGATATAAAATTAATTTGGCAAGTTATGATAAACTAGTTTCGATCATAATAATTTTTCATTAGATCTAGTGTTTAAGCCGATTAGGTGAACTAAAAATTATTGGTCAAAGTTCAACTATTGTCTTTTTTAAGATTTTCATTGGATAATTTGCTTATTGTTTACACAGGATCTGTATCTAAAAAAAAAAAAATACGCATGAGTTCATTATCAGCAAAGCAATGCTCTATAACAATACCCTGAATTTGCCCCTTAATGACTTAGTTAGTCAACTATTAGTCGAACACTAATTAGATCGTGTAATTGCACATTCAATCGTTAGTTTAATCACTTTTAAATGAAAGTACAGTACCCTAAAAAAAATTAATTACGTCAAAATAACTGGACTGTAGATGTTTCGTATCGTATTTTCATTTTGGATGTACCATATTTTATATATATATATATATATTTTATATTTATATAAACCCCAAGATAGCAATTATCTGGGGACGTCTATTGACGCGTTTATTATATTACAAGCTCCATATTGAACCATCGATATACAAAATCTACACATTCCAAACTCAATAATAAAATTTACCATTTCATAGTTATGTCCAAAGACGCTCGTTATAATAAGCATTTGCTGTAATTGGATTGATAAATGAATCTGTCTGCAATCATGTCAAATAAATACGAACCTATATAAGTTTATAGAATTCTAAAACTATTTTCACAAGTTAAATAATAGAAAGAACTAGTTTGTTCCAAATACAGCTCACTTTGTTATAGGAACTCTTAATATAATGAAAATTTTTGAATACGGAATTATAAAAATATATCTAATATTTTCGAGTCTAGTATTTTAGAGTCTAATAGTTTCTTGATATAACTTCACTATAGCGTGAAGCATGAATGGATTATAATCGTTTGTTATCGTTTTCTCTTGTATTTCTACCTATGAGCCACCTTTATTTTTTTGTTGAAATATAAATATAAATGAATGAAAAGATCATATACATTTAACTTTCGTATAATGAACTAACAGTTCTTATAGTAAGTCAACGGTTTACATTGCAATAGCGATTAGATGTATCAAAATAAAACGAAATCAGTGCGTATTTGGTATTTGCAGTACATACAATATAATTCTGCACCAAAGCCTCCAATCGTTTATTGCATTACTATAAGTGATGTACTGTGTTGTATCATTTCGAATTTTATACAATACAGTACGAAATTATCTTTAAATATATATATGTATCTTCGTACTGTATCGTATCATTTTAAAATTTATAAAATACAGTACTAAATTGTCTTCCGTACAGTACATTACATATGTATATTCCAAGATAACAATTGTGAAAATTATCTATAAACATAAATAATGTGATATCTATCGAATGGAATCTAATATAATAAATAAGGCCAGGCAAAAGATAATATTGTCTTTTAATAAGTATTGGTTAGAAAAAATTCGAATTATATTAGCTTATTAGTAAGGTATAAATGAAAGCTTCTACCTACTTGAGTTATTTAAAAATTAATTATAAAATCATCATACGGTAATAAACTAAACCGTTAAGAGCTTCAGCTCAAATTAATGGATTTGATTGCTGTTATCAGTACTAGAAATACACAACACAGCAATAACACCCATTTGCTTATTATTTCAATTAGAACAAGCAAAAATAGTTCAAATAACAATATTAACAATATTACATATATTTTCATATTTATTTATTTATGAATAAAAATCAATACTCATAATAACCGATAAAAATTTTTATTAATAAATGCCAAAACTAAAATAATATAATAAAAAAAATTATTTAATTGTTCTTATGATAAATTGTTTCGTTCCATGTTTCAATATTGAAAAAGAATTTTTTAGTAATGTCTTTGCCAGATTCTAAAATTTCCGAATCCTTATTCTTTTCATCATCCTCCTTACTACCAATACTCATATTTGAATCAGGATAAAGTTTTGTACTTGAAGAAGGATATAGCATATCGTCAGAACTTGTTGAATAACCATAGATTGGATATCTAGGAGATTGTGGTCGGATTGGTGTTTTTTTATTGAATGGCAAAGGTGGTTTTAATGACTGAGGTGATTGAGGTCCATAAGCGTGACAAAAACATTCATAATTATTATCATTCCGGTCATAAATGTTAGATATTGGATGATGATGATAGTAAGTATAACTGTCAAGACTAACACCTCGCCGACGATAGTAGTTATTATGATTACAACTACTACTACCAACTTGAATAGTTTTCCGCGATTTTAATTGACCATTTCCTTTCACAGCCGTGGACGAGGTAGTTGTGGGTGTATTTGGTTCAAAGGAAATAGTGGAAGGAGGTTCGGAAAAAATTACTTTTTTATGTAGAGGAGAAGATGTATTTTCATCCATTTTCTGAAATTCTGAAATTGTGTTTGATAAGAGAAAAAATTTTTTTAGGAAAAAGAATATTTATGCATACATCTTTTATATACGATTTCTGATTTGTAGATCAAACTAAATTAGGATAACGAATTCGGCTTTAAAAAAAGTGGGGTGATTTCTATATCAATATCATAAATCGTACACAACGATCATACAATGTTTAATAAGAAATTTCTGGGCAAATATTGATTATCATTAATTTGTAATCATTATACTTCTATTGTGTTATTCGCCGCTGAATATATATTTAGCCAAAACATTGTGTCATTATGTAAATACTCAAAAATTATCACTTAAAAATAACTATTAAAACCGAAAACTTCTGATCTTTTATTTCTAGACTATACTACTATGTGACACACCACTAAAAACATATGAAAACATGGATGGTAATACTCATTACAAAAATCTATAGTAGAATAACCCCAAGGTTGGTCTGTGCATTAACATGTGACAGGTGTAAACCATGTAACATGAAATATCAATATTGTAAGAACTATTATAGAAACTATTTTGCTAAAAACATCCGTTCAAACTTGTAATGATGTATTCATTGTTTTTTTTTTTGTAAAGTGTTCATAATGTGGATATTTTTAATACTTCATATTTGGAAAATACATCGATTTTTAACCTAAATGTTGGCATGTGAATAAACCAATACGTATATTGATAATCTCTTGTACCCCAGATAAAAATTATCCGATTCGAAGTCGAGACAGTCCAAGTCTACTGTAAGTAAATTTTTATCATTATTGTTATTAACAAATTATGTAGTAGCAATAACCATGCATGTGCAGTAGTAATGTTAAGTGTTTTTTATTACGTAATTAAAAACAGATTATGCGTATATAATTCATTTTTTTATGCTTAAATCCAAACCTAACTATTCGGGCACCTGTTTTAAAGCTGTTATCATTATTCTTGGAACACTTCGTGAAAAATTAACCGGGTGATTATTCTACCGATTCGATAAGTTATTTTTCAATCGAAAAAAATTTAGGAGGGTTATAAATTCGAATAACTACTAAACACTTAGGTGTTAGCAGATCTTCAATAAGTCAAGTTTTCAACCAATAGAAGGTTTCGTATTTATTTACAAATGAGCGATGTATCAACCTTATTTAATTTCCCGATAATTTTGAAAAAGTCTATTTATTTCGTTAAATGGGATCTTCATTTGAAGTCTTGAAGTTTCACGTGAGTTTTAATTTATAAATCGATTAGCACCTTTGAACGTACTAGACTTTAGATTATCTTCGTACGTACTAGACTTTAGAATATCTTCGTAAATAATAAACATTACGTTAATCATGCCGAAATCAATAATTTATCATTCAGGAATAATGATAACAACTGTAAATCGGTTAAAAAAAATGTTTATACAGATGTTATCATAATCTAAGGAACACCTGATAAAAATTAACCAAATGATTTTCGGCCGATTCGACTAAGCTTGTTGCCATAATAGATTCAAATTGGGATATGTAATTTAAAATAAAACTTTAGCACGTATAGTAGGCTCCGAAAGTATAACAAGGCTATACAAAAAAAAAACATATGCAAAAAAGCATACGTAATATGTACAGTACATAATTAATAATAAATTAATATATATCAATATATATTGTATAATCATTATGCATTAATATTGTCGTTAATTTGCATAAATTTTTGTTATGTTTTTTTATTTAAATACAGAATATGATATCTTTGTTGGTAAATAATTGAAAATTTTAGCCTTACCACTTCGAAAAATTGCCAAACACATAGGCGTAACCTTATTTTCTATAGTCGGATTCTCAGGTAACTTCAAAAAACATGTATGTATTGAAAAACCTGATTGATATTTGTAATCTAAGATGAAACTAACTTTAGTCTTGTGATAATTTAGGCTATAAATCTACTTTGATATACAACGAAAAAGTAATATTTTACATATGTAGAATATCTTTTTTTTTTTTTAAGATTAGCGCAAATCGTTTAATTTATGTCCTGTGGTTTTTATACATATTTATTGTTAAGGTTTATTAGCAATCTTTCCGTAAATTTTCGTACAAACTAAACATACCAAACATGTTGGATAAACATTCGATCAAAATTTTAACATTATCATGATATGTAAAACAATCATGATACTAAAATAACGTTTATTATACAGATCACGCCAAAATAACAAACTTATCCGAGTCGGCTGAAAATCATTCGATGGCAACTTTAGGGCTAACTTTGATTGTGATATAAATAGCAGATCCGATTACTTATAACTCTAGTTAAATTTGCAGACCATTTAGCCAAGTTCAGAGTTTTTTGATTCCGAATCTGGCTAAATGATCTGCAGATTTGACCAAAATTATAAGTAATCAGTTTTGATATTTAGATCACAATTAAAGATTAGCGTTAGAGTAAAATAACCTCCCCAGTATTTTCAATTTCATATTTTACAATTTTTTTCAATTCGTTGGGCTGATCCGAGTAAATATGAAATCGCTAATAGAGATGCTAGAGAAATTAATTTCACAAATTTCATCAGCATTTTTAAAACAGCAGGAACAGTGCCCCATATGTAGATCGTCGTTTAACGTTACACAATACATAAAAAAATTTTTTTTATATACTTTTAAAGTACTTCGGACATCTTGTATTACTCGCTTGCGTAATAAGCTAAGTGCTGATACATTACTAAGTAAACTTGAAGCCTTCATATCATAGAACACAATATCTGCTGAATCCCTCTGAATCCCACCACATTAACGTTATATTCAAAATGGAAAATGTTAAGAAATGCTTTGAATGTAAGAAGTCTGGTCCATCAAAGTTTTGTCAGTTAAAAGACGAAACATGGAAGAAAATCCAAAGTAAAGGTTTGGTAAGAGAAGGGTGGAGTGAATGTATAATGCTTTGTACCCGTTGTTATATGAATTATGTGTCAAACCCTCTTAAAAGAAGAAACAAAGTTACTAATAAAGAATTTTTAGAAGCAACTGAGATAGATATTACGGAAACAGAAACAGAAGAAATAGATATATTTAATAATTTTGGACTTATTGAAGTCATAAGATCTATGGCAAAAATTTTCTATAATAGAGAAGTTAAAGAAAAGCAAAAGCCCATTTATAATTTTGATGAATTACAAGAATTACTTGAAAATCAAGATTCTAATTTGGGTTGTTTTTTTGAACAATTATATTTAGCAGCATGCCCATTGGATTGTAGCAGTCAAACCATGGAGCATATGAAAAAAATTATGGTTTTTATTTGTTATCTCCTTGCTTCATTAAATAACACACAAATTAATGCTTTTAAGTTAGATCTTGCATTTTATTTAGATTTGGCAGGAACAAGTAATAAAGGCTTAAATACAATGACAACTATTGGTATAGTTATGATGTCAAGAACAGTAAATAGAAAAAAAAGAAGATATCAGAAACACATGAAGAATCTGTTAAAGATGATTTTATAAAGCATTTAAATAATGCTCTTATAGTTAATATTGATGATTATCATAACATCCATGTTCAACAACAACTCTGTACTACTACTACCTTTTTATCAACTCATATGGCAACAATCGTGGTGAATCCATGCTTAATATTAGCTATACCATGTAATCAAGTACTTAATCCTAAAATCGTAGATGGAGAATTAATCATAAGAAATATAGATAAGCATTTCATCATAAATCTTGGTGTTCCTTATTATAATTATATGAAAAATTGCATAAATAAAGAATATACTAACACTGAGTTATTAGAAAAACTTACTTTACATAGCTATGATGATAGATTAGTGGAAAAGAAAAGCAAGTGACATATTAAAAATTGTATCCTTTTTGATTTTGTTAAACACAATTTAAAGGTAATTGAAGGATATTTAGATTCACTTCAAACCATATACAAGCAAGAGCCAATGCTGAAATATTTATTCAAATTTACAGTTCTCATCATCGTAGACTGGCCTAGTCAATTCTATATCTGTAAAGCTATAGTACAGAAAGTTCTTTTGAATAATTAAAATATTCACAAATTTGTTACAACATTTCTACCTATGATGGGTCCTCTTCACATCTTATTAAATACCCACGAACTTGTTTTTAAGAAAAACTTGTGCTTGTTTAATGATATTTATAAAAGCATATTTGGAATTTGTAAAAATCTTGGTAAGAAACCATGGCCATGAAGAATTGATTTAATTCTCTATATAGTTCATTTGGCATAGTTTGAAATAGCTGATTTTATTTATTCAAAATTCAGTTATGTATGCAAAAATTTAGAATTTTTATATTTAACTAACCTTTTTAATAATTTAGTTCCTTTAGTTTTAGACATATATGCGATACATCATCGAGAAGGAAACTGGCTAGCCTATAAGAAGGCTTGCATACATTATTGGAGTAATCTTTTTTTACAGTTTGATAGAAAAAATAATAAGTGCGTATCTTTGATATTCTTTTCAGATATTTTTTATTGGATAGAAACCAATTATCCAATATTTAATTTTATTATTAACCATCTCACTTCTTTAAGTGATTCTCCTGTGAAAATATTTCACAGCATTATTAGGCAGCATATTTCTAAATCTTCGACAGGTAAACAATTACGAATTGCTGCACATACTACTTACTAACAATGCTATGATAATGATTTTTAACAACAATTTGTGCAGTCTGAAAAGTATCCTTATTTATCAAAACAATTGCGCATGTTTTCCCAAAAATGCGCTATATATCTTTTAGAACTTTTTACTAAAATATATCATATATATGATATAAGCTCATTTATTGTTAGTTTTTCTAATAATATTGACACATATAAATTATCATTATTAGGTTATGAAATCATGGATCACCATCTTCCAAGAGGCTTTATAACATCAAGAAAACCTAGTATTTTTGCCTTATGTGACTCAATTTATTGCAATATACCTTACGATTTATCTAACGATAGTGTCCTAGTATGCGGACACGATTACCATAGTCATTGTTTACAAAATTAACAATTTAAATGTTTTATTTGTTTTGATTATTTACAAAATGAAATTAGAAAAAATACTGCTGCTTTACTAGAAAGTTTAACAAAAGATTTAGACGAAAACTTACCTAAAGAAGACATTGAAGAAGACAAGAATGATGATAAAGATTTAAACGAAATTCATGAAATATCTGATGAAAAAACAGTTGAATGTCAATTTGAAAATGCAAAAAAGTTATTTTTTAAAATGCATAAAATTAATATAATAAATAAATAAATAAATAAAACAATAAATTAATGAATAAATTTTAAAAATTGAAGTAAAAAAATTAGTTGATCTAAATCTGAAGTTGCAGTTCGCTATTGATGATGAGTACGGCATGATACATAATGAAAATCACGGCATAATATATCACCAGCTTACATAAATAGTAGTATAAAAATTGATCTACATTTATTCGTCACATGGGTAGTTCATATTGCGATTTATGAAATTGTTGACTCAGGGTAGCCAATCATTTGACTGTCCCTGCTGTTCATTTTTAATCACTCGGATCTGTGTAACTATGTATTTATGGTTCTGATTTAACTTCCCGAAATCACTGAAGTCGTAATACTGACAATCCATTTTTTAAAAAAAAACAGAATAGGTCTAGGGGTGGGTCTGGTCAGTCACGGTCGGTTATCGGTCGGTTATTGCCGGTCATTGACTCATAACCGACCGACCACGGTTATTGGACCAGTCATATAACCGGTCATATAACCGGTCATATAGCCGGTCAAATGATCGGTTCAATAACTGTTCAGTTATTAGCTAGGTTTACGACAAAACTTTTCTATCCATCCAAGTTTTAATCAGATCCATATGCATATTTAATCAGGATTAGTATCAGTATTGATATGGAGTATGATGAACTACTACAGCGTAACCACAAAAAAAACACGGATATGTGGCATCATCAATTGCGTTAAGCATAAAAAAAAATAATACCGATAACAATTATAACAATTACTATATATATATATATTATGTAGCTGATAGTAATTTTGAATATATCAATCAGCAATATAAACCACAAAGATGACATGTCCGTGGTTTTTTGATGGTTACGCTGGGGAAGTCCAGTATGATGGTTATTACTGTTGCTGTGTTATTGATAAATTATAAAGTGAAACTTAAGATAAAACAGGATACTATGATGCAAACTAAAGTTGTTCATATGTGATCTTCGAGATTACTGACTTATCCTTAAACATCTTTCGTTGCACTTCTAAATCACAAGAATCACGGTCATCGTATGAGTGTCATCATTAAATTTATTAATTAATACGTATTATCTTAGTTAAAATAAATTATTTTATTTATAAATATTAGAGCATGTAAGTAAATGTTGTAATTAGTTATTATAATGAATTACAACAAATAATGCCATAATTCATTATAATTACAACTAATTATGGCATTGCGCTCATCCCTACATATGATTAACACCAAGAAAAAATAATTTAAACTTATTATTTTTCAAATTACTTATCGTTATTATTGTAATGAATCAATTAACATCGCTAAAATAGTATCGATCAGGATTTTAACCGATCGGTCACAAACCTTTGACCGACCGATATCGGTTACGGTTATGACCGGTCAATGACCGGTCATAACAGTAATCGACCCACCCCTACTCACAACCCTCACTGCTCTCTCATTTAGCGCTTCCTTCCCGCATTCTAATTAATGTTCTTACTCCCATAGCCATATTACCTTAACAGGTGTCAAGCTATTTCGGGTAAGTGTGCCTCGACAATGGGATCTATGGCGTTCAATGGGGCTTGGCTTGTACTGCAAGGGGGATCGTCGTTCATTGTTCAGGGTCACGGGTATCGCGGTTTTTTCATGAGGCGTTTGGGGTCGTCTCGCTAGATCGGGTTTGCCTGTGACAGTACATATGATCCAACCAATCATATGAGCATATGATCACGTTCCTTACAAATTACATGTTACTGAAGACTTACAAAATTACAACCCTATACTGTATTTATTAGACCGTGCAGATCAGCCGACACATGCTTATCAGAAAATTTTGACACAGCCTCTATTTTGATGTGTTTTGAGCTTTTAAAATTTTAAGCATATCTATATATTTCGATGACCATCTGATCAAATTCATTAAAAATTTTTTATTTGAATTCTGTGGATAATTTAATATTTTAAATAATATAAATCACTTTTAAAAATAATATAATATTATGCAAAAGAAAAAATAAATGTATTCTATGCAGCCCGCAATGCTTCCAAGAATATCTCATTCATAGTTGTTGCATCTTCATATTTAAAAAATACTTTTATCATACCCCAAATTCCTTTTTTCTCTATTAATAGATAACAAAATTCTTTTGCACCAATTTCATGAGTTTCTAACCACCATCCTAAAGTTGGAAGTCTACTAAGATATGCTATATTGAGTAAAAATCCCAAAGAAATGATAGTAGTATTCACAGTACCGAAAAAATTTTCATAAAATAGACTAATTACATTCTGAGATTCTATAATTGGATTTAATGCTGCAAATATTTGCTTGCATTTCAGAAAAAATGCTATACTACCAATTAATGTAAAAAATATTAAAAATAATATGTTCATTAAAAGTACAACAAACACTACAATTTTACTAGCTCTGAAATACTTCATCATTTTCTTAATAATGTAAATTGTTCTATTAAAATTTAACAAAACTACAGATAAAAACAAAGAAACCCCAGAAATAAATTTCATGTAATCAATTACGGCTTGTAAATGATAACCTTTCTTCTCTTTCTTCGTTGAACATGCACAAACTAGACTAAAAATAAGCATCCCAGAATAACCAATAATCAACCAAAATTCAGTGAAATGAACAAGTCCATCAATTCCATAATGAAAAATTCCATCTGTTCTAATATGAAGAAGTCCATTAACTCCATTGAAGTTATATGCATTAATACAAATGGATGATATATTAATTATCATCTTTATTACAAGCCAACCAATTTGTAAAATGTATATTAAATTGACAAGACCAGTTGATTCTATTTTAATGTTAAAAATTTTAGTAGATTCCGGTTCAAGTTTATCAATTAATTTTTCAATAAAGCAATTTCTTATTTCTTCATTTTCTTTATTTGTACATAAGCTTCATAAGTGTCGAAAAGGTTTGCCCTACACCATAATTCGCACCATAATTTTGATAAACTTCTTCCCTATAAAACATAGATTTTTATGATGCTGGGGTGTTTACGATTTATCTATTTTGAAAATAAGTAAGAGTTTAAGAAAATTGGTTTATCTGTATTAAAATACCGAATAATAAAATTAAATAGGTGTTTGGTGATAAAATAAGGGGATATCAAAGTTAAAAAGCGAAAATCTAATTTTAATTGTAATTGGTTACAGATTTATTTTCAAATGAGCGATGCATTAACTTTATTTCATTTTCCAAACACTCCCAATTGCGGTTTCCGATTTTAAAACTTTTGAACTACAAATAAGATCTTTCAAACACCGATTTAATTTCAAAATGCGTTACTTAGTTGTTAACTTTGAAACCCCTATTAGATTTTTTTTTTGGAATAAACATTTAATTCGTCTAAAATCAGTTATCTCCTGAAACTACTACCAGATAGTAGCATATAGAAGTATATAATTGTTACACGCAAATATAAAAATGCAACACAAATTGACCAAATCAACAAAATTGTGAAGTTAATATAAGATTGATGCAAAGTACGTGAAGATTGATATATCTAGTTTTCTAATTCCTTGAGGAGTGCATCTTTAAGATTTAATAAGATTTGAAGACGACCTTTAATATTCACTAAACATTTTCGGGATAAAATTTTGTTTTGTGTAACCATATACGTAGTACGTACTGACTAGTGTTGGTAGGCGAAACCTAAGAGTTTCGCCACAGACGAAAGGCGAAACTAGTTTCGACTTTCGCCAAAAAATAATTAAAATGGCGAATTGGCGAAACTGGCGAAAGGTGGCGAAACTGTTGGAAGGTGGCGAAACTGGCGAAAGGTGATGAAACTGTTGGAAGGTGATGAAACTGTTGGAAGGTGGAGAGACTGGTGAAACTGCTAAAAGGTGACAAAATTTAGTAAAATTAGTAAAAATAGTAAAACTAGTAGAATAAAAAGGTAATTAAAAAACTAAAACTTTTATATAATTGTTAATATTTTTATTTCCATATATATACCTAATAGTATATATTATTTATATTATATTTGTTATAATACATATTATTTACAATAAAAATTTTTAATCTTTAGTAATTTAAAATTAAATTATTTGTAGATTATTAAATTTTTTTTTTTTTTTTAATATTAATGGTGAGGTTATGCCTCTATTTTTATTGAATATTTATTTGAAATTTTTACATAAAGTATAAATTTACTATTAAAAAATATTATAGAAAGAGTAGAAGCTCAGACTAGTTTATCTGTGACCTAAACCAACAGGAGTGGTCAAGATTCATCTAGATTTGGTTGTTAGTAATTATGTATGAAAGATTAGTTTGGTATTTGATCCATTGTATGTACCAGGAATAAATTTTAGAATGAATTGAATTAGAAAAAGAAGATTGAAATGAATATGAAATAGAATTTAAGAGTGAATTAAAAGTAGGAGGATGAGATATTGATCTTGAGATACAGTAGGGGATCCAAATTTTATGATATATTTGTTGGTTAAGATGAAATAAAAATTTAATAACAAGTGTTATAACTAATTTTTTAAATGATAAATCTGAAATAGTAGAGATAATTTCATGTGATACTAAGCCAGATAAGGTTGAAAAGACTGATGGTAGGTTTACTGTGTTGTGTGTAGTCATACAATAAAGTTGTTTAATTTGGTGATGTAGTTTGGTTATTGTTTCTGAAATAGTGTCAAGTGTATTTGTATTTAGAGTATGTTGTAAAGAGATGTCAATAAGGTTATATAGCAGCTGATCAGATGGACATGATATTTAGTAGTGATAAGAATTGGTTTCATGGCATTGATGACAGGTTGGTGGATATGAGTGATATTATTTGTAAAGAATATGTGGAGTAGAAAGGTCATCAAATAGACTTTTAATTCTAAAAGATTTAAGAACAGAAAATTGAAAGCTATATGAGAAGTTTGAGATTTTTTGATTATTGTTAATATATAGTCAAGTGGTTTGCCAATTAATTTGGTTAAAGATTTTGTTCCATTTTTGAAATTGGTTTTGTGTAGTCCATAGTGCATAAATGTGTGCATGACAGATTGTATGAATACTACGACAAGTAGGTAATTCTAAAAGAAAGTTTTCAAGATTTAGAGTATAAGATAAGTTATAGATATTGTAAGCCATGAAAGTTAGATATAATAAGTTGTAATGATTTTATGTCAGTTGGTCAGCAAGGTTATTATATATGTTATCTTAATGTGCAGTAACTTTGTAAAAAATAATTTGAATTTTGTATAAATTAACAAAGTTAATTAATAAGTTCCATAGTGAAAAGTATGGTATATGTATGTAGGATAAGGTTGTAGAAGAGTTAAAAATGTTTTAATATTTAGAAATTACAGATTGAGAGTCTGTATATATGTTTATAATACTATTTCTAGAGGCAGTAATAAGGATAGATAGAATGGCACTAAGTTCAGCTTTAAATGAACAAGGCCAAAGTTTTGTTTGAGCTTGGAATATATATAATATAGAGTTATTAGAGATTTGGACCCATCCAATACCCATTAAGTATTATGGAGTATCCAACTCAATAACAGAGTCATCAGTGTAAAAATGAAGTTCTAATAAGTTAGCATTATAGTTAGCTATTTGTTGAAGGTTATGTATAAGTAAACAAGGTTCGAAAATTACAAGAATTGGTTAAGTAGGAATAGTAATATTTAGAAGATCGGAATTTGAGTAGGATGCCGAATTGCAATAAAGTATATAAGATTGAGATATTTAGCATTAAAGTTAAGAGTTTTGTTATAAGTGTTAACTCGACCTAAAAATTAAGTTGAGAGATTAATAGGAATAACAATTGTACATTTGTTAGCAATTATTTGGGAGTTAAGAGAGCATTCAGAACATATATAGAATTGAATAGGTGGAAGAAGATAGAGTTGAGTAAATTGTGATTCAATATTACATTGCCAGTAGATAATAAGGATCGATTCAGATGCTGAAGGTTGCCTTCTGGCTTTTCCAGCAATGATTTGGTCATCAAGTATGGTAATAAGCCATGGTTTTTTGCATGATGAAAAGTGTCCAGTTGCATAACTGTAGTAATTAGTATTAGGTAAGTGCAAATGTTGATAAAGTGTGTAATTGTAGGAATGGCTTGTGACTTGGTCTTCTAAATAAGTAAATCAAAGTAGCTGTTTGCTTTTTGGAATCTTGTGTATACAAAGAGAGATATGTTTCCAGTCTAATAAACATGAATTGTTAAATGTTATAAGTTGATCAAGATATAGAATACCATGATGCTTAAGTTGTTTTTTAAAGATTAAGTATTTTGTGTGTAGAGAGAGTAGAGATTCAAGTGAGATAGAGCCTTATTGAATTGTGTATGAAATGTTGTAAGTTGGGTTAGCAGTAAATGTAATACCAAGATGTTTAAAGAGTTGAATTATTTTGAAATTGGTAGTATGTTTGTTTGGTTCATCAATAATAGGATTATTATGTATTAAGATGCTAATAGGTGACCAAAGATTATTTTGAAGTTGTTAAAGCCAAATGCAAGTACTAATATCAAGAAGGTCAGGAAAGTTAAGTCTTTTGGTATAGTTTGTTATATGATGTTGAAGTTAAATATCCCATATATATTTTGAATATTGTATAGTTAAGGATGGAGTAATGTGCTAGTAGAAATTGTATGACTAAGTTTGACCTTGTTTTTGACAAGTCCAATATAGTTGTTAAGGATTTTATTACATATGTTCTGACTAAGAACAATGTTGTGAATATGGTATTCAATTGTAGAAATAATAACAGTATTAATAATGTATTATGCATGTGTGTCAGTGATTTTTTTTGTGCTTGTAATTTTGACAAGATGTGATGATTTAGCTGTAATAAGCTTAGTTTGTTTTGCTTATTTGTTGTTAAGTGTAAACCAACATCCTAGAAATTTAAATGATTCATCTGGAAAATGAAGATTAAGTAATTGACTGTTGTAATTAATAGTACTATAGTTGGTTGGAGAGTTATTGATTGTGAGTATTGATTTAGTAGAATTAATTTGAATATTAGCTATATTGTAAAAGGATTCTGCTATTGATAAAATTTGGGAGAGTTTTTGCTATAAGAAAACAATCTATAAAGTGTCATTCATATAGCAAAAACAGAGCAGTGAGATTTAAGTTTGTTGAATGTTTGGTTTTTAAGATTAGTTGGCCAGGAAACTTTAGTGTTGTATCCATCAAAGTTATTGTAAATATATGAGATAAGTGGGTCATAGTATATTTTCCATAGAAAAGGAGTAATAGTTTCTCCCTGATCAATACTATTAAGTACAGAATATGAAGAAATAAGGCCAAGATTTGTGATAACTTGATTTTGTCAGTCAGTAAGTAGATTAATAATAGTGTTAATGATAATGGAAGAGAGAGCAAGATGCTGCAAAGAATGTTTAAGAAGATTAAGGTTAACTGAGTCATAGGCCTTGCTTAGATCTTGAGACAAAAGCCAAATTGGTTTTTGGTTGCATAATGCATCTTCAGTAAGGTTGTTGAGTATGTGTATAGGTATTGAGATGCTGTTGTTTGGTAGAGCAACATAATTGTATGGTGAGAGAATTGGATGTTGTAAGAATATTGTACTAATTCTGTTTGTAATAATCTTTGTATAGACTTTACAAGTATGTTCAATTAAGCTTATAAGGCAAGTAAGGTTAAGATCTTTATCAAATGTATTGTGCTTTAGAATAGGATATATTCTGCTATGCTTTTATTGTTTTGGAGTTTGGCCTGAGTTGAGGCAGTGATTAAATAGG